GTATTAGAAGCCAGTGGAGACTGAAAGAGGGCACTAGAGCCACAGACGCTCTGGACATGAGTGGAGAAGCTGGCCATTGCCAGGACTCCAGAAGCATATTCACAAGAGATCTCTGGGCCACTGCCGTTTTAACCTTCGTGGAGGATTGTAGGGATGAAGGGAGCTGGGGATTGAGCTAGAGGATTTGGATGATGGATAAAGTTCTGGTGAAAGTTTGAGAATCTGGATGGGATGATGTCGAGGACAAATGGGATGTTAACGTCATGGTGCAGGGTCTTGTTTGCGACATAATATGGGGCATTGACTATTGTTCTAAGTACTTTGGACTGGAAGGATTGGATGCGTTTGATATCTGAATGTTTAGCAGTTCCCCATAGTTCAAGTCACGGGCGGATCTACGGGGGGGAGGAGGGCTTTCGGGCTGAAGCCCCCCCAAAATCGAAAAATATAACCATGTTTTATGGGGAAAAAAATTTAAAAAATACCTCTTAAAGTATTATTGTTCGTGTAATTGCATTTAAAAGTACTTAAGGAATGACTTAAACACCATTTCATATAGGTAGCTAGTTTCTTTCTTTTTTTCCAAAGTAATTATCGTTATTTTTATGAAAAAAAAAGGTTTCGGGCTGAAGCCCCCACAAAATTAAATCCTGGATCCGCTAGTGGTTCAAGTCCGTAGGTCCAGATAGGTTGATGCAAAAGTACACTTAATTTAATTTTTTGTTGAGTATAAATACAACGGCACGATATCTTTTTTATATCTTAGCCGTAAAAATATTTGTTAAGGGAAATTAGATCAACCATAAATAAAGATATTAAGAAGAATAGTACTCATTCGTTGTCATTCTCACATTAAACGTTTAAAGGTTTATTAAGATAAGAATCTGACACTCACCGCTGCTGGCAGTTAAATTTACTGCAGTGGAAGATCTCTTCAAGAGGAGAAAAAGAGAAAAATTCTTCCTTCAAAAATACCATTAAGAAAATATGATTGTTTAAAATATAGAACAAGTTATTAAACTTATTGCTGAACTCATCGATAGCATCAGAAATCAGTCTAACCGTTCCAAAATTCATCCACGGAAACTCTGGATGAAATTTAGGGATAGAATTACCGATGGCTCAGCGGTCCAATTGGCATCTGCTGTCATTGATGGGTATAACCTATGGAGACCAGACTCCCGCTTTTGGCGGGACAGCCCGATATTTAACAATTTGTCCTGCATTACACGGCGTTTTCAAAAAGTTCCGATTTTTGGAAATAATGCACGACAAGCTAGGGAACGGGAAGAGAATATACGATTTTCGGAGGACATATAGCTATTTCGTCAGGATATGAGTTTTATATTATTTTTGTTGATTTTATAATGTTAAACTTAATTAATAACGACTAATTGTTAACAAATCGATTATCGAGATCTGCTTAACAAAGCTCACATTGTTGATCAGTTGTTAAAATTCGAACAACATTGTTTGGACTTAATGATGGTAAACAACATGAAAATTATCTTTTTAATGAGGTATCGTTATTAAAAAAATATATTGATAAGGAAAAGATTAAAGCTTGAGCGTCAGCAAATTTACTTCATTTAGAAAATATTTAATAGATGACTGTTGCATTATTAAGGAAGATGGTCCGGGGTGGCGGTCATAAATACACTAAATAGTGGCAAAAATATTTTATTATAATCAAACGTTTAGAACCGACTTTGCAGGTCTTCTTCAGGGCTAGAACGAACAAGATATAGAAAATTGTGAAAGTTACGTCATATTTAGATAAAAAATTATAACCAATGTGCATAAACTTATTAATATTATAAACAGTAAGTACATTAAAATATTAAGAACAATAAGTTGTATAAACAGAGCAAACTAAGTAACGAGATCCTAAACTGAAGTAAATAGATGGTAACAATTGTTGTAGTACCATAAAATATAATATATGCTGTTGTGAATACACTCCTACAGATCTGCAGCAGAGATTAGAAGAAAATAAAAAAGTATATAATATGAAATAATGGACATAAAGCGATGTGGAGAAAGAGGAGAAAAAAGGAGAAGATAAAAAATAAAAATAAAATAAAATAAGTAAATAAAATTAATAGAATAAAAATAGAGACTTGCAAGTGTGTTCAGCAAGGAGTTTCACTTATAACTGGAAAACCAGGGTAAGGATAGGTATTTGGGAAATTTGTTTATCTGGTTGGATAATGGGAAAAAAACCTGGACAGTAAGTGAAGATATGGATGGATATAATCAAAAATACTATATCTATGAAATAATAAATTATAAATATATACATATAAATGTAAAATAGAATTTAGAAATTATAGATAGGAGTACAATGTGAATAAAAACAAAAATGAAATAAGTAAAACGTACATAGAAGTAAAATATAAATATAGAAATGAGAGACCATACATTATATTTTACCTCTATATACGTTTTACTTTTCCATTTTTGTATTTATTCACATTGTACTCTTATCATTAGAATAACTACAATGTACAATTTAATGACAATTGTCTGGCATTAGAAATAATTAGGAATAAATTAAATTAAAGGTTATCTAGATCCAAAATTTTTTTTTTTAATCTTATTTATTGAAAAATATTACAATCTGTCTCAAGGACATTTATAATAGTGTTCACAGATCACATTCACACTCTATGTACAGTAAATAAAATAAATTATACAGAAAAATAAGAATAAATAGGAATAAAATAACCTAAAAATAAATGAATAAAAAGAACACATACATACCTATATACAATTGAGATCTAAAATTAAAAAAAAAAAAAAAAAGGCACACAAGGTAGACATATAAAATTATAAATAAATTTTGGTGTGGTAGTTCACATATTTGTACACATTAATAATGTGAAGGTTATATGACTATCTATAGGATAACATTAAATGCGACTGAAAAGGTCTAAAAAATTTGAACATTATTTTGCACATATTCAGAAGATTGATTGGTGTGGGATGGATATGGATAGATGGAAAGATGGATACATAAATTATGTTTAAATGAGGCCAAGGATGGGAATTTGCCTATGGAGGTTGGTAGGGAATCCCAAAACAAGATAGCACGTATGACGAAGGATTTTTTAAAGTATACAGTTCTATGAGAAGGAATAAACAGGTTTTAGGGTTGTAATCTCGAGAACGAATGCACAGAGGAACAAGGAGTAAACATATCGAGAAGGTAAGAGGGTTTTTTGGTTGAAAAAGGAATACAACTAAGAAGTATTGCGGTCGGAAGACTGGATAGAGCCACTTCAACTCGACATACCAACTGGTGACGTGGACGTGCCTAGAAACTCCAAAAATAAATCTAATGAAACAATTCATTAGCCTATTTAATCTGATCTCAAGCCAACCAGACAGTCCACCGTATACGAGGCAGCCATAATCGAAATGAGGGAAAATGAGTGAGGAAATAAGGAGCTGAAGGATTGTAAGGGGCGTGCAATCACGGAATCTTAGGAACTGTTCAAGTGTAGCAATGGATTTTCGGATTATCTGCAAAATATGACTATACCACGACTAATATAGATCAAACATTATCCCAAGATTTATAAAAAAAAAACAAACCAAAAACAACTGATTTTCCATAGTATTTAAAATGTTTGACCTTTATATTATGTCTATTCACACATAAGTTTATACCTCACAAGCCAGTATAATAAAAATTAAAAAAAAATATCAAAAGTTAATTTTTGATTTTGATTATACTGACCAGTGAGGCATAAAATTAAGTGTAAATAGGAAAAAAAAAGAAAAACGAGATGCTGTTTATCTCTAAAAAAATTTACTACAAAGGATAATTTGTATTGGTCAAGTAACACAAACTTTTTGCTGAAGTATAATGTTGATTTGAAACTGTGCGGCCTTGTGTTATGTGACACTCAATATCCTATTAAATACAATTATTATCTAACTAGTGTTTGAAACTCTCCAAATAATTTACTTTACACTGATAAGTCAACATTTTACACAGCCGTTTCCTGCAAGACCAAGACGAGCAGTTCTTAGTATTATACTATAAATCTTTGCCGTGGAATTGTACATTCGGTCTTGGAGTTGTTCTCGTTCTTGAAGCAAGAGTCTCGCAAATCTATCTATTACCTACTAGTTTTTGCTATTTATTAGAAACGTAAGTGTAGATCTTAGAACAACCTTACACAGTGAATAAATTTTAAACTAATGTAGACATAGACATAGCAAAGCATAACCAAATTATTAAAATTAACTAACAAGACTTGGGATAAAAAAATATGAACACCTAGATAAGTACAAATGCATGGGAACAGTGAATAAGATGAAGATCCTTGTAGTAAATAGACAAAGTTTGCCGATTTTCAGATTGAAAACGGTTCCAATTCAGAGAATTTTCGTAAATAAAAAAGTTACGATGAGGTTCACGAAGTTTAAGACAGATCTCAATAATTAGATAAAAGGGGTCTGTACCACGGACTATTTAGTTTATTATTTCCTGGTTGACCTGGTTTCTCTAACATATAAAACGCGTGTCATTGAATAGCGCTCCATGTACTTGAGAACCTTCCAGGAGAGAGAATTTATCAGATAAGAATTGTGATAATAAGAAATTCTAACTCCTAAACTCATGATGTACTTGAGTTTTTATTAACTAGATCAGTTTCGTTTACAATACTCTCAATATTAATCCACAATAGTGCTATTTCAGTTATTTAACCAAATTATTTACTGCTAATTTTTTTATCATTAATTATATAATGATTTTTAAGCAAGAGCTCTTGGTTAAAATATTTTCATGAAGGGACAAAATTTCGTATAAAATATTCTGTTGTAAAAATTAAAAACTTTAAATTTTGTTATAGTTTCAAAATGAAAAAGCATTTACCCTAAGTAAAGCTCACAGAAGTAGGGCGACGAATAAACTTTCATAATTTTACATTACTTCAATTTAATTTGTTGTTATAACTTCTGTAAATTATTTTTCTTCTTCTTTTCAGAGGTCAATTTTCCACTGTCTACAAATGCTTATACAAAGGGAAAATCGAGAGAGCGTGCAGGACATACGAAAAGGTGAGTTTACTCAATCAACCAATTTTGTTTCGCTTTATGGCTAATAATTTTATTTTTTGCGACGACGATTGCAGACGATACTCAAAAAACGCAGGTTACTCTGTAAATTTCAGATTAATAACTGTGTTTGAATTAGATAAGATTTCTTAATCAATAAACTAGCAATTAAATGAAGCAACAAACGAATAGCTTCATTAATTCATAAATATAAAAGCAAGATTAATTTTAATGCTACTAAAAAAAAAAAATTAACCTTCTTTTAAATTATATAGTTGTCATTTTTTATTTTCCACTATTTCATATGACTCCTCGTTGGCCTAAAGCATTTTTCTTTCGTATTCGATGAAAACTAATACTAATACTCCTATTGGTAGGGGGATCTAGTCCAGCACGTGGACTCTATCGTAGAACTTTTTGCCAACTCCTGACGACTACCTTGAGGTTGCCGCCGCATGCTTACCAAAGCGGGAATGCCCAGGGGGCGTGGTGGCCGAGCGAGCTAACGCGTGTGCACTGCACCGCCGTTGCCTGGCAACCATATAAACAAATCCCAATACGATATAATAATTACAAGTTTGCATCCCGGTGCCGAAGGTCCGGTTCACCCTGCTATTACTCCCCTGCCCTCCCCCCCGGCTCGGAAAAACTCCCTTACAGCCTAAAATACAAGGAAGGGATGCACAAAAAAAAAGGAATGGAAAGTAACTGACCCAGATGGGAATAGAACCCATAACATTCAGAATCGAGCACTCTGGGACTCACGACCCAACGTGCTTGGTCATTCTGTTCTCGATGAAAGGCTATTTATGAATAGCCATTGTTTAATCCAATGTATCAATGAAAATCAACATAATTAGGTTTCGATAATTTATATTACTTATATGTGTTTAGCTAACATTCATGTTATCCTTCCTGTTTACCTAAAGGAGGTCCAAATCAGTAAATAATCACTCTCCGTCTGTTGTTATTCTTTATTAATTTTTACGTTTTGGTGAGTCATTTTCCCGCTCCTTATCATATAATATGACTCAGTATTGGATAAGTCTTAGTTATTAATAAGTTGGTCATTGATCACAACTCAACTGAAAAAAAAGTAAGTAGAAGATAATCAATGAAAAAAAATCAAAACTAGCACTACTCAATAATATAACTACACTATAATTTTTATTTATTCATTATTTAATTTTAGGTATTTAGTTCATATTTATTTATTTACTAATATTTTCTTATATTAAGTGTATCATCTCTAGGTTCCCAGCCTCTTTAAAGTAGATACCCTTTCTAGGATAGAGTTGGTTGCTGAATGTGATCCTGATCAAATCACCTTGGCTATTGTGTAAACATAGACTAGAATTAAAAGTAATAAAAAAAATTATAAAAATAAAATAGAAACAATAACTCCTTATTAAGTACTGAATCCCGGATCCTTCGTGAGTTATAGCCTCAGTGTAGTTGTTTTTTTAATTTTCCTTTTTTTTTTTACTAAGAATGCCATCGCATTCCATTATTCGCATCTTAACCAGAATAGAAACAAATATATTGTTTTACATTAATGCATAATCTTAAGTCTAAATAAAACAAACAAAAAGCATATAAATGCAGATCAAAATCTGAAATCTGCTGTGACTAAATGAAGTTAAAAATATATCTCTTGCTTGTTTCAAAATAAACATTTTTCTAAAATAGTATATATACTTAAGCGAAAAATCTATGATACTTCATATAAGGGTCTTAGCAACATTTTATGATTCATTGGAAAACGTCATAGGTACGTCAATTTACTGAAATGCTTACAGGCTAGACATTCTTAGAGACCGCACATGAATATAAATAAGTATACATCTAAAATGCAGTTTGCATCCTAATCAGCTGATTAGTATGTGCTCATCGATTTTGGCATGTTGATGAGAAACCTATTTAGCTGTAGAAAGATTATTACAATCAGTGACAATAAAAATGAAGTTTATTGTACGTCTGAAGTCGTCCCAGGTTAACCTCCTTCTAAGACACTCTCCTGTGGTGCCCCTCAAGGTTCCTCCTTATCTCATACTCTGTTAGCTATTTACATTAATGACCTTCCTCTCCTGATCCATCATCCCAATACCACATCTATGCCGAAAATTTCCCAATATACCTATCCTTTCTCCCTTCAGACCTATTAGCCGCCACAAAAAAGCTTCAAGAAGACTTAAATAGAATTTGTGACTGGGCAGGAGCTAACAAGCTGAAGTTGAATGCTGAGAAGATAAAGGCAATTTTGGTTTATTATTTTCAATAATGAACCATTGTGATGGAACAAAAAATTCAAAAACTTAACCCCCTCTCAAAATTTGAGGTTTTACGTTTCAGGATACTTATTCTCTAGTAGATTATTCTCTGAGGCTTCTAAACCCACATTTCTAGCTCTGTATAATGTTCTAAAGGGACATCTCCCAGAATAAATAGATTATTATATAATTTAATATAATAAAAACTAGGTTTACATTCCAAAGAAGTACATGTAAAATTAAGTTTAATTTTTGAATTTTTTGATCGATCACAATAGTTCATTATTAAAATAATAAAAGGATTGTAACAGTTTAAGAAATTAGAAAAACATATTTGAAAAGAAATAATAAAAAAGTTTTGAAACAGTATGAAATATGGACCAGTTTCCTAAAACGGTTAAAGAAAGTTTATGATATATATGAAGTATTTCGAAATTATAATGATGACCTATAAAGTTCAGCAATATTTTTGCATATTTTGAGCATTTGGCAAGACAGGATTCAGCGTAAAAGCATGAAATGAATTAACCCAAAACTAAAAGTGGCCTTTGTAAACAGAATATACAACTAAAGCAAAAATAAAAATATTATATGCATCTAAAAAAAAATTGCTACTACAACCCAAGTGTATGCACAGATTTTTACCCACATTTGCACAAGGTGGGATTTGGTAACCGTGTTCGTTCAACCGTCAGGTTTATTCGTTGAACTAACGATGAGCCAGATGTCTAGAGAAAGGATGAGAGAGCCCCAGGAGGGTTTTCTGTCCCGAGGGTAAGGCCTCAAATTACAGAACTAATTTTTTTTTTTTTACTGCTTTACTCAAATCTAGGTATAGATATAAAGATCATGTGTCTTACGAATGAGATACTCAACACTCTCCTTTCACCTAGTTTAGTGTTCATATATATTGCATATATTTATGAACCATTGTATATCGAACTTTCACATACCAGAAAATACCATTTTTTTTGGGGGGGGGAGGAAATGGCATTCTCAAAATATTTACAATTCCTACCGTCAAAACATGTGAGACATTTCATATATGTTATGTTATTACATCTGAAATTGTTGGTCTGGTAACACAAGGCTTAGAAATGTATCGAATATGAATAAGTTTGTGAAAAATAGATATCATAAATTGTTTTTGGCTAGATTTGCTAGGCATATATTATCCAATAGGGTTTAGTTTGGGGAAAATGTCTACAAGTAATAAGATTTAATTATTATTTTACGTCTGATTGTACCATAAGAAAAAGAAAGAAGTTATTTATTTACAAATCTAAATAAATGTTCGAGATGTTGTGTATTCTTTTCTGATGCATAAGGCGGACCTCATATAGCACGAAGAAGTTCGGCTAGATTCATATATTGCATTGTATTGGGTTAGCGAATAAATCCTTTCGGTTTTTCTGTTCATTTTTATTTCACAATGCTACTCTTCTTATCTGATGAATTAATCCCTAAGGTCGATTGTTTATCCTGTTTGTAATATGTCAACAACTGTATTAGTTACCTCTTATTGAAACTAGCTTAGTATTGTGTTTGCTATTGCTATAACTATGGATATAGAAGAATACATCATTCATTGTCGGTATATTATGTTGGATTATTTTAAAAAAGGTATGCGTGCTGCAGAAGCTCATAGAAAATTTTATAGTGTTTATGGGGATGATGCCTTAACCGAACGCACCTGTCAAAATTGGTTTGCCAAATTTCAATCAGAAAATATTGACATCAATGATGCTCAACGGTCTGGTCGTTCAAATGAAATTGAAACGAGCAATGCTAAGGCCATTGTTGATCAAAATCCCGCCCAATCAGTGCGAGAGATTACCATGGCCCTAAATATGTCGCATACAAGCGTAGTAATGCACAAGCTCGGCTATGTTTTCAGGCTTAATGTTTGTGTCACTCACTTTCTATCCGCAGAAACTAGTTAGTTTCTTTCTGTTTTTCCAAAGTAATTATCGTTATTTTTATTTTAAAAAAAGCTTTCGGGCTGAAGCCCCCCCCAAAATTAAATCCTAGATCCGCTAGTGAACTTGGCAACACACATTTCTGTTTGTCATTCTCAACGGAAACGGCAACAAAACGACCCATTTTTGAAAAGGTAGGTAACAGGGGATGAACAATGGATATTTTACGATAATGTAATCCGTAGAAAATATTGGAGACCTAGAATAGACTGAGAGACCAGAAGAATGTCAAAACCCGGATTGCATCCAAAGAATATAATGCTTTCCATATGTTGGGAAATGAGCTTTTGCCATCAGGAAAAACAATTGATTCAACTCTATACTGCTCACAATTAACAAAATTGGATCAATCAATTAAAAATAAACGCCCAGAGCTGGAAAATCGGAAGGGTGTTTGTTGTGTTCCCCCTATACAACGCTATGCCTAACACCTCATTCTTCACTCGCAATAAATTAACGAGCCTTAGATGGGACCTTTTGCCCCACCGTCTATATTCACCAGACTCCAAGTAACTACCACTTATTCTGGTCTCTGCAGAACTCCATGAATGGAAAAAAATTCCAAAAGAAATAGGACATCAGAAACCATTTGGATCAGTTTTTTAACAATAATCTCCAGATTATTGCCAACATGGCATTATGCAGTTATTGAAAAGATGGGAAAAAATCATATTAAATAATGGTAAATATATTGTAGATTAAAATAAATTTTATGTCTATAATACATTGAGTTTTATTTCACCCTGAAAAACCG